TTACCAATTTCCGATCGCATTTTGTAGTTGAAACAGTTGATTTGGCGATTTCTTGTGCTCAATCGATAGAATTGAAGTAATACCACTGAAATACGCCTACCATCTGACTTACGACTGAGTTCGGTTCCAAGAAACCGGTCGTAAGTCGAACTTTACTACTGAATATCAAGAACATTTTTGTAATGACTATTTTATTGTTTTATTTTGGTATTTCATGTTTTACTTTACTTTATGTTGTTAGTACTGTATTTTATACTGTAAGGTTTAGGTTGAACCCTGTGTACAACACAAATAGTTGTTTATTTCCCAGAAATTTGGCATAAAAAACACGGTCGTAAATTGAGTGGTCGTAAGTCGGATGGTAGGTGTAACTAAGAATTTGGGCGACTGGAATAATGTAATTGGCCTAAAATAGGAGTCAAAGTCGGCAAAATCACCGATGCATAAATATCGTTGACACATCAAAATTCGCGAGAGCATAATTTCGTCAGTTTTCCACCAAATTTCGTACTTTTTGTTTTATTACCTTCAGAAAAAGATTCTCTACAATTTCATAAGAAAAATAAAAAATTATTTTTTGAAAATTCTTCGACATTGGTGCACACTTTGAAATTTGGCCTCTGGACCCTGAAAGGGTTAATTAAGGGAGAAGTTTAATAATGAATGCTCTTGATCAATGGATTTGAAGCTACCCTCCTTACAGATAAAAACCAGATTAGTACACTACCCAGGCATTGTATGACCTACAGGATTAGAGCTTTCCCATGATAATTTACCTCTAAGGGTGACATACCTCCAACTCCTTGAACTTAAGGTGACAAGCTATAACTCCTAGGCTTAACAGGGCATATCTTACAACCCTCTTGATCCAAGGCACTATTATTATTATAATCAAAAAGAAGCGCTAAGCCACAAGGACTATACAGCGCTGCAGGGCAGGAAGGAAGCGAGGGCATCAGGTGGCAAAAAGGAGATGGATAAGTAATAGGTTACGGATAACAGTGGGGTAGTGGATGGTGAAAGGGTAAAGGGCAGCAAGAGACTGAACTAGAAAGGGCTGAGGGGAGTGCGAAAAGTATCATCAGAGTTTGTGGAGTAAATCAGTCGTTGTCAATGAGAGAGTCAGGATTAAAGGAGGGTCCATCAGCAAGAAGGGAAGCTAAAGAGAGAGTAGTAGAAAGATGACTTTGGAGGTAAATTCTGCGTGCTCGTTGATAGAGAGGGCAGTCTAACAGAATGTGGCTAATCGATACTGGAACTTGACACTGCTCACAGAGAGGAACAGGGTGCCTCTCCATGAGATACCCATGAGTAAGACAAGTGTGGCCAATGCGAAGGCGGGAGAGAGTGGTCTCCCAACCTCGGCACTGATGACAAGAAGACGGCCAGTAACCTATGCTCAGTTTAATAGAATGAAGTTTGTTACCGAGCAGAGTTGACCAACGTTGTTGCCAACGGGTGCGAAGGTGGGTAGCTATTGCAGCAAAATAGTCCAGAAATGGAACGCCTCTTTACGAAATTGGTAGGTCATGTACTGCTGACCGCGCAGCAGTGTCTGCCTGTTCATTGCCCTGTACGTCGACATGACCAGGGGCCCAACAAAAAACAATATCTTTATGTTTGGTAGAGATACGGCGTAGCCAAAGTTGGATACGGAGAACTAGGGGGTGAGATGTATCAAATTTTCGTATAGCCTGTAGAGCACTAAGGGAGTCTGAGACTACCACAAATGATGACACAGGCATAGATGCGATACGAATAAGTGCTGCAAGAATGGCATACAATTCAGCAGTAAAAATGCTAGCCGAAGATAGTAAATGCCCCCACACAACGCTGTCCGGAAACACTGCTGCGAATCCGACGCCGTCTGAAGACTTAGAGCCATCTGTGTACACAGCGGTGGCATGAGAATGGGAGTGGAAGTGATCAAGAAAAAGAGAGCGAGAAGCCACCGTAGGCAGTTGAGCTTTCGAGCAAGGGAGTGAGAAAGAACAGACCCGAACAGCTGGAACTTCCCAGGGGGTAGGGAAAAGTGAGATGCTACATGAACATATAAAGGTGGTAACTGAAGGGAAGACAAGAGTGAATGTAGGCGAAGAGAAAAGGGACGGAGCAAACAGGGGCGGTGAACGAATAAAGAATGTCTACTAATATTGGTGACCATTCTATAAATGGAAGGATTGTGGAGATCGTGAGAGCGTACATAGTAGCGAAGGCAATGGGCATCACGGCGATCAGACAAGGATGGTACATTCGCTTCTGCATAGAGGCTCTCAACAGGGGAAGAGCGAAAAGCACCAAGGCACAAATGTAATCCTTGGTGATGGATAGAGTTAAGGCTAGAGAGAGTAGCAGGAGAGGCCGCGGAATAAATCTGGTCACCATAATCGAGTTTCGATAAAACAAGGGCTGAATGTAGGCGAAGCAGAGTTCGACGATCAGCTCCCCAGGAAAGATGAGCAAGGATTTTAAGAAGGTTTAGCCGGCTGTGACAAGTTGCCTTCAGAGAGGTAATGTGAGGTTTCCAGGATAACCTACGGTCAAAGAGAAGGCCTAGAAACCTGACTATCACGTTCGGGGATACGGGAGCCATAGAGTTACAAAGGATGATCGGAGATGACAGAGCGTCTAGTGAAAGTAATTTGGTGAGTTTTGGTACTTGAAAATTTAAACCCATGCGTGCTGGCCCAAGTGGAAACACGGTCGACCGCATGCTGGAGAGAAACTGCAATAAGATGACAGTCAGCGCCTGCACAAGCAATAGCGAAGTCATCAACATAGAGTGATGACCAAATATTGGGTGGAAGAACAGAGGCCAAATCATTTATAGCAAGGAGAAAAAGTGTTGTGCTTAGAACACATCCCTGAGGGACACCTTCAGCTTGGACGAAGTCCGGGGGAAGAACATTATTGACTCTAACACGGAAATGTCTGTCAGTTAAAAAGTTCTTAAGGAAGGATGGTAGATTGCCTCGGAGGCCTAAGGAATGGGCCTGGGCCAAAATATTATACCTCCAAGTTGTGTCATATGCCTTCTCAAGGTCAAAAAATATGGCAATAACTGAGTGATTATTCGCAAAGGCATTACGAACATACGTATCCAAGCGTAGTAAGGGGTCTATGGTAGAACGACCCTTACGAAAGCCATATTGACTAGCGGAGAGACTGTTGTGTGTCTCTAAATACCACATTAAACATCGATTTACGAGACGTTCCATCACTTTGCAAACTGCACTAGTAAGAGCGATGGGACGATAGTGGGAGGCATCATGTCCTGTAGTACCCGGTTTGCGGAAAGGGAGAACAATGGCAGATTTCCACAGCTGGGGAAGAACTCCTTGTGCCCAAATAAGATTGAAGAGGTGTAAGGGGACTACAAGGGCTGACCGATGTAAATGTTGTAACATACGAATATGAATGTCGTCAGGCCCAGCTGCCGATGATCGGCAAGCTGAGAGCGTTGCCTCTAGTTCTTGAAGTGTAAAAGGCACATTATACTGTTCTTCTCTGAGAGAAGAAAAGTCCAAAGGTACTAACTCTCTGGCAGACTTTGAGGAAAGAAACGAGGGGCATAGATGGAGCCCCCGGGAAATACGGACCAGATGTGTGCCAAGTTCAATGGCAACGTCAAGAGGGTTTGCTACATCAACACCAGCGACCCGTAGAACAGGAGCCGGGTCAGGAGAGTATTTACCACTCAATTTCCTCACTTTTTTCCAGACTGCACTCATAGAAGAAGCAGAGGTGATGGTGGATTATTATTATTATAATCAAAAAGAAGCGCTAAGCCACAAGGACTATACAGCGAGGGTCAGAATGTGGTGCGGTATCAAGAAGGGGCCTGGGGGTAGGGGTTCATGGATTGGGTTCTCCATGGTTAGGTTACTCCTTTGCTTTTTGTTTTTAAGAAAAAAAAAAAGAAAAAAGAAAAATAAAAAAAGAATAAAAAAAAGGGGGGAGCGGGGAGTAGTAGTTCCCAGGAGGAATGAAAGGGCCGGAAATCTCCCTCCGCGCCCAAGAAGACCTCAGCACCGCTAGTAGCGCAAATGCAGCATGGAACCCGTGCCATACCCTACCCTTCATGCCAGTAAACCAGCAATCTGGGATAGCAACCTCACATCTGCTGAGCTACCTCGGTGGACAAAAGAGAGGGCGGCCGGATATCCGCCACAAAGCATACCTCCTTCGGCCACCACCCCCGGAATCCGAAAGGTGGCTTCCAGAGATACACCCGTCGCCCGAAAGACACCCAAAGCTACTCCGGGATACAGGAGAGGGATCGGGACATCCCCAGGCGATCCAGATTCCATGGCAAACTACACCACCGCCAAGAACCTCAACGGAATGGGATGGACCCTGGTGTCCTTTCCCCTACCTAGGAACTAGCGCGCCTGTGGGAGAAATCCGAAAGGCCAAAAAGAGGAAGGGCAAAAGGGAGGGGTGGGGAGGAGGAGGAGGAATGGAAAAAGGGGAGGATGGGATAGGGGAGGGGAGAATGGGGGGTAATTAGGTTCGGTCTGAGGAAGAAGACCGACAGGGCTAATTCCTCAGACCAAGAGCCTCTTCACCACGCCAAGGAGCCCCCCCTTGAGGTCCAAGGCACTAGATACAGCTTCCACACACTGGAGATCACTTCAAATAGTGAGTGAATAAAAGTAAAACCTTGATAAAACAGATTTTAGATCCAAGACAATGTGAACAATAAACATTGTTCATTATTTTCTAAGTCCATTTCTAGAAGTGTATACCTGCTAGGTAAACTCCTTTTGGAAGTAACTGATTATTGTTTTCAAAATGGTCCACCATTGTCATAATCATGGCAAGATTATCTCTGGATTTAATGGAAAATCAGATTTACTGGATACCCTCATTTTTTCCCTATTAGTCCATGAAATTGAGGCTTCACTGTACTATATTTTATATGCAAAGGGAGTCTACCCTTTATAGTTTAGCACTTAATTTGAATATTATTGCAAAGGAATCTTGATGAAAAACAATAGTAATGAGAAAATTATTTATTGATGATCAGAATAGAAAGATTTTTATAATCACTTCACAGTATTATAACAGACCAAATAAAGCCTCACTGTGAATGATGTCACAATGATTACAGTCATTAGTCATTGTTACACGGTACATATTTTTGTCAGTTTACATGTTTGACTTTTTTCTGAAAGTTTACAAACTTAATACACAGACTTTTTGGCCCCACAACTCAGGATAGCATATATGCCAGAACATCAAACTCCTTCCATGCATCCACAAGTCAAAAACAATGTTTTTTGCTAGATACCACAAAGTCATGCCACTTTCAGCAGTTAATCCTCCAAATCAGTTAATGTTGTACAGTGCTCCTAATTTACAAGTAAACTACTGATCTTATTCTGACACTAAAATAGTAATGTCAAAAGTACAGTACACTGATAATGTGAAAGCAGATATTGCATGTGTGCATTGCTGGGTCAGTTGGGTTAAGCAGATGGATTTGGCTAGTAACTGGATGGGGACAATGAATAATGGCACAAGCTTAAAGATAGACACTATGTTTGCAGTGAAACCTTTATTACATATCATCCAGGACTGAACTTTATCAAGAATACTTTATATCATAAAGGTTTCACTGAAAACAAACCATGTCTCGCTTCCTATCAACTTAAGAATCATTCATCCAATCCCCATCCAGTTGCTTAACCTGGATAGGAACGGCATAGACAGCTTCACCCAAAGCCAGACATTTATTTGGTTGGTGTCTATATGCAGAGTGAGAACTCCCTTAAAACTTATGACTTACCTCAAGTCAGGAACACTATAATAAAAGTATAAAAAAAATTATTCACAGAAAGGACAGTGGCAAGATGCACACCTGATTATATTTTATTAAGAGTAAATTTTGTTATAATCAAACTAATCACTAAACTCAAAAGTCATACAGTGCTACATTTTTAATAAAATATATAAAAAATTTTTGTAACAATATGACAGATCAAAACAAAGCTCTTTTCTCATTATGTATAATATATAATAGTTGAAAGGGGATACAACTCTGAATATATCTATCTGCAAAATATGGTCCCCGTTATGCATTTTACAAATGTATACAAAATAAACATCAGTATCTCCTAAAATTATAAAAATATTTATCTGTAATATAACCATGAAAACCTGTATTGTTTTAAAGTCATACATCCAGCTCTCTCATTATAAGAAATTCTGCCGCAGTCTTATAATTTAACATCTGCTGCTTCAACTTTTTAAGTTGTGCATAATGAGTCTTGTGTACTTTGGTCTTCACATTTTTAAAGTAACATCCTGACACCATCTTGTCCAGTATGTAGTGAAGCCACAACACATTAGTGTATGGCGTGTACTTCTCCCATTCATTCCTGCAAACGAGTAAATATCACTTTAAATTTATTTTTTCATGTGACAACTATATCATTGTCTATAAGAGTTAAAAGCGATAACATATTGGGTCAAACAAAGGGGTCTTGAGGGAGGGGGTTACTTTGAAACTAGTATGGGATCTTCCTCCAACTAGTGCTGTTCTCCCCTTCCTTGGATCAAACCCCATTATCTCCAAGGCTTGATATTACCTATCACATGCTTAGGCATCCCCATGAATGTACTAATATAAAAACTATCCAAGAGTTAGTTAATTTTTATATTATTTATTAACACATTGGCCATTTCCCACCAAGGCAGGGTGGCCCAAAAAAGAAAAGCTTTCAACATTCACTCCATCACTGTCTTGTCAGAGGCACGCTTACACTAGTTATATAAAACTGCAACATTAAGACCCCTCCTTCTGAGTGCAGGCACTGTACTTCCAATCTCCAGGATAAGTCCAGCCAGCCAGTTTCCCTGAACCCCTTCATAAATGTTACCTTGCTCACACTCCAACAGCACGTCAAGTCCTAAGCACTATTTGTCTCCATTAGCTCCTATCTAACACACTCACACGTTTCCTGGAAGTCCAAGCCCCTCGCACACAAAACCTCCTTTACCCCCTCCCTCCAACCATTCCTAGGCTGACCCCTACCCTGCCTTCCCTCCACAACAGAGTTATACTCTCTCAAAGTCATTCTATTTTGTTCCATCCTCTCTACATGTCAGAACCACCTCAATAACCCTTCCTTAGCCCTCTGGATAATAGTTTTGGTAATCCCGCACCTCCTCCTCACCTCCAGACTATGGATTCTCTGCATTATATATGCACCACACATTGCCCTCAGTCATGACATCTCCACTGCCTGCAGCCTTCTCCTTGTTGCAACATTCACCACCCATGCTTCACATCCATATAAGACACCATTGGTATAACTATACTCTCATACATTCCCCTCTTTGCTTCCATGGATAAAAGGTCTTTGTCTCCACAGACTCCTCGGTGCACCACTTGCCTTTTTCCCCTTGTCATTTCTATGATTCACATCTTTCACAGACCCATCTGCTGACATGTCCACTCCCAAATATCTGAAAACATTCATCTCCTCCTTATGCTCTAACTCCAGTCTGTTATTCAATTTTTTATTACCTAATTATTTTTTTTATCCTTATCACCTTACTCTTTCCTATGTTCACTTTTAATTCCCTTCTTTACAACCCTACCAAACTCAACCACCAACCTTTGCAGCTTCTCTTCAGAATCTCCCAAAAGCACAGTGTCATCAGCAAAGAGCAACTGTGACAACTCCCACTTTGTGTTAGTTTCTTTATCTTTTAACCCCACACCTCTTGCCAACACCCAAGCATTCACTTTTCTTACAACTTCATCTACAAATATGTTGAACAACCATGGTGATATCACACATTCCTGTCTAAGGCCTACTTTTACTAGGAAATAATCTCCCTCTCAACTACAAACTCAACCTACCCTACTACCCTTTTTAAAAACTCTTCAGCTTTTAATAACCTACCTCCTATTCCATACATTTGCAACATCTGCCATACTGCCACCCTATCAAATGCCTTTTTCAAATCCATAAATGCCACAAAAACCTCTTTACCCTTACTAAATACTGTTCTTTTAATAGTTTCAAGATAAACCCAAAAAACAAGGCCTACAAAATGCTCATAAACAAGGGAATACTGCCAACTTGTTCTAAAATGCCACCCTCTAAAAGGGATGACCCCTTTCCCCAAACCCTTGAATTTCTTTCAATAAAATATTGGCACCAACACCACAATCCCAAGTAAAAAAAAAACCACTCCCAACTAAAACCTCCTTTTATCAATTATCTGTTCCCCATTTTTAAAAACACATAAATCAAAGGAAGACAACCCCGTTCATAAATTTCAGCCCAAAGCAGAAAAAAACGAAGGGAAATAGGGGGTTACAACATGCCCTAAAAAACATCCACGAAATAAAAATCAGATTGGAATCTTACAAATATTAACCAACAACATCAACAAAAGTCCCAAAGTCTATGGAAACCATGATCCTTTAGGAAGCTAGAGGTCTGCCAGGTAGCATTAGCTACTAACTATATGTGCAATTTAGTTGTATAAAATACACTTACTTATTGCTCTCTCTCATTTGCCTGTAGACATCAAACTGATAATCACCCTCTGCAGTGAACAGTGAAGGGTCATCTGCCAAATTGTTATATACTATACAATTTGGCAATTTCATCCGTGACAGAGTAAAATCAATCACTGTTGCTTTTAGTCCCTGTAAAAATAAATTATATTAGTTCTCTTACTGGTACCTTAAAATATTTTTAGTTAAAAACAGATTTTATAAAACTTGCTGCATTATATAAAGAGTTACTTGATATTAATCAATATGCCAGTGTCAATGCATGCTATTTCACAAAAGATTTCTTACATAACCAATTAAAATTTGACAATAGGCAACCTAATATGAAATTTGAATATCAAGTAAATCAATTAATTCAGTGAATTACAAAATTTACACACAATATGAGGCAAGGTGCTAAAAGTAAAACAATGTTTTTTGGGTCACCCTGCCTCGGTGGGAGACGGCCGACTTGTTGAAAAAAAAAAAAAAAATCTAGGTAGTAGGTTGGTAGACAGCAACCACCCAGGAAGGTGCTTCCGTTCTGCCAAGTGAGTGTAAAACGAAAGCCTGTAATTGTTTTACACAATGGTAGGATTGCTGGTGTCCTTTTTTCTGTCTCATGAACATGCAAGATTTCAGGTATGTCTTGCTACTTCTACTTACACTTAGGTCACACTACACATACATGTACAAGCACATATATACACACCCCTCTGGGCTTTCTTCTATTTTCTTTCTAGTTCTTATTCTTGTTTATTTCCTCTTATCTCCATGGGGAAGTGGAACAGAATTCTTCCTCCGTAAGCCATGCGTGTTGTAAGAGGCGACTAAAATGCCGGGAGCAAGGGGCTAGTAACCCCTTCTCCTGTATAAATTACTAAATTTGAAAAGAGAAACTTTGTTTTTCTTTTTGGGCCACCCTGCCTCGGTGGGATACAGTCGGTTTGTTGAAAAAAAAAATCTGTAGTCAAAATGCAGTGAACCCCCGGTTTTCGTAATTAATCCGTTCCAGAGAGAGTGACTAAACCCGAATCCGAGTAATTCCGAATTAATTTTCGCCATAAGAAATAATGGAAATCCAATTAATCAGTTTCAGACACCCAAAAGTATTGAAAAAAAATGTTTTCTACATGAAATAAACATTTACCTACACAGAAAACTGATACATGAAGAATAAAACAATAATAACATCACACTTACCTTCACTGAACACATGGTGATGTATGGAAGACGGGAGGTGGGGAGAGGACGGAGGAGTTTACAACTGTTTGGAAGGGGAATCCCCTTCCATAAAGACTTCAGGTACCAAGTCCTTATACTGGGTTATTTCCCTTCATTGTTTTTAATGTCACTAAGACCAGCTTGAGTCACTGGACCCCTGTCACTCAAAAGTGTTCCAGAGAGGTCTGTTTCTGGTGTATGTTAGGAATTATGTTGGGAGACAGGACAAGATAGTCCCTTAATATGACACTAACATCAGCTCTACGGCTTATTTATCTTGCAAAATTCATCTAATATGACGTAATAAACAATATTAATAACATAGAAACATGATATATATATACTCTAGAATGAATGAAATATGGCATTAAGAATGTCACGAGTGGTGGTGTGTTTGTTGTTGGATGTATAAGAGCCACTGAAAGATAAGCCTGCATAGTGGTGGTGAAGGCAGCAGCAGCAGAGGTGGCGGTATTAGTCAGTAGCCCTATATACCCCCAACAACAATGGAGGAGTCAGTTTTGTGCTGTCCTTTTTCTATCGGTTAATCGCTTAACTTACTTGCTACACTGTTAATGCTACACTTTATCGTTGGCTGGCGCTACAGCCTTTATCGACTCCTGCTGCTTTAATATCGTACATATTGCAGAATCATTGAAAAAGGCACATTCTCCCCTCTCTCTCAGCCTCTTACCATGGTGGCTTATTTAGCAGTTGCAAGCACTAAAGAGAATGAAATAATACAAAATATATCATATGAATGTGTGGGATCGTCCTCACTGGCTGATAAACAATGGTACACTGACTGTACATGGAGTGTCAGGGCCGCTCAGGCAGCGCGGACACGTTCAGGACCAATGACTTGTACCAAGTTCAGTGACAATCACCGAGACAATATTTGGATGAAAAAACTTTATTTATTACCAATATTACGTATTCCGATGATGACGTAATCCGGGGATCCACTGTACTGACAAATTTTCTACTTACTGGGAATAGCTGCTGTAACAGGTATTCACTATTATTATTATTACTCTTATTGTATACGTATATGTATTTCCTATTCTCAAACAAAAGAATTTATGTAGCACTTTAACCCCCTGAGGGTCAGAGTCGTAGTTTTAGTTTTGAACACTGGGTCAGTGCCATAGAACTTCCCCATGAGCTCAGCTCACTCAGATAAGCTGTGAGCAGTAAATTTGGGTCTAGCTCTGAGAGATTGGACCTATGTAATAAGTGTGCATCATATAAAAAAATCCTGCAGTATGCAGTGAATGAGGAAAAAACTGCAACCATGTTTTTGGTTTAAAACAGTGAATATGTGGTATATTTTCTTATGGTGTTTATAGTTGTATTCACAGTTTCTTGGTATCATTCGATAAAATGGAAGATATATTACAGAAATAGAGATGGTTTTGATCGGTTTGCGGATGGAAAATAGCTTGAAATTGAGCTCAAAGGAGCGGAAATATTCAATTTTTGCAGGCGTTCCAGAGTAAAAAAAAATCACGTAACCTGTCCAATACGCATCAAATGGTCAGTCTAATATATGTTCATGAATGCACTGAAGTTATCTACACAATAATGCATAACAGTAAATGAGAGAGAGTGAGAGTGTGTGAGTGTGAGAGTGAGAGTGTGAGAGTGTGAGAGTGTGAGAGTGTGAGAGTGTGAGAGTGTGAGAGTGTGAGAGTGTGAGAGTGAGAGTGAGAGAGAGTGAGAGAGAGTGAGAGTGAGTGTGAGAGAGTGAGAGTGTGAGAGTGAGAGTGTGAGAGAGAGTGAGAGTGAGAGTGAGAGTGTGAGAGAGTGAGAGTGTGAGAGAGTGAGAGTGTGAGACAGAGAGTGAGAGTGTGAGACAGAGAGTGAGAGTGTGAGACAGAGAGTGAGAGTGTTTAGACAGAGAGTGAGAGTGTGAGACAGAGAGTGAGAGTGTGAGACAGAGTGAGAGTGAGACAGAGTGAGAGTGTGAGAGTGTTGAGTGTGAGAGTGTGAGTGTAGAGAGTGAGAGTGTGAGTGTGTGAGAGAGTGAGAGAGTGAGTGAGAGAGTGAGTGAGTTGAGAGAGTGAGAGTGAGTGAGAGTGAGTGAGAGTGAGTGTTGTGTGTTGTGTGTGTGTGTGAATAAAAATTCAAAATGGAATCCATGTGTAAAGCCTGAGAACATACTAATGAACAGCAGAAATGTTATTTTAGTGCCAGGAATGCTTGCATTGTTTATTCTTGACCCTATTTTCAAATTTGTGTGAAATTAACTAAATTACCAATTTCTGAGCACTTTATTGGGTAGTTGAAATAGTTGACTGGCCAGCTTCTTGTGCTCAGTCGATAAAATGGAAAGTACAGTGGACCCCCGCATAACGGACGCCTTGCATAGCGGACAATCCGCATAGCGGACGCTTTGATCGCTAAAATTTTGCCCCGCATAGCGCCCAAAAACCCGCTCAGCGGCCTTCGTCCGAGACGCGTCCAATGTGCGGCCTGAGCCAGCCTCATATGTTCCGCCGGTGGCATTGTTTACCAGCCAGCCTCCGCGGTAACATTCAAGCATACAATCGGAATATTTCGTATTATTACAGTGTTTTCGGTGCTGTTCGAAAATAAGTGACCATGGGCCCCAAGAAACTTCTGTTCCAACCCTACAGCAATAAGGGTTAGAATTCCTATAGAAATGAAGAAAGAGATCATTGATAAGTATGAAAGTGGAGTGGTATCACCGACCTGGTCAGGTTGTACAAGAAACCCAAATCAACCATCTCTTCTATTGTGGCAAGAAACGGCAATCAAGGAAGCTGGGTTTTTGCCAAAGGTTAACTGTGTTTTCGAAACAAAGATCGCAGTGATGGAAGATGTTGAGAGACTCTTATTGGTGTGGATAAATGAAAAAAGCTAGCAGGAGATGGCGTCTCTCAAGCGATCATATGTGAAAAGGCTAGGAAGTTGCATGAGGATTTAATTAAAAAAAGGCCTGCAACTAGTGATGATGTGAGCGAATTTAAGGCCAGCAAAGGTTGTTTGAGAGATTTAAGAAGCGTAGTGGCATACATAGTGTGATACGGCATGGTGAGGCTGCCAGTTCGGACCACAAAGCGGCTGAAAAATATGTGCAGGAATTCAAGGAGTACATAGAAACTGAAGGACTGAAACCTGAACAAGTGTTTAATTGTGATGAAACAGGCCTGTTCTGGAAGAAAATGCCAAGCAGGACCTACATTACTCAGGAGGAAAAGGCACTCCCAGGACATAAGCCTATGAAAGACAGGCTTACTTTGTTGATGTGTGCCAATGCTAGTGGTGATTGCAAAGTTAAGCCTTTATTAGTGTATCACTCAAACTCCCAGAGCGTTCAGGCAAAAGAATGTCCTCAAGGATAATTTGTGTGTGCTGTGGAGGGCAAACAGTAAGGCATGGGTCACTAGGGAATTTTTCTATAACTGGTTACACCATGCATTTGCCCCCAATGTGAAAGATTACCTAACTGAAAAGAAATTAGAACTTAAGTGCCTCCTGGTGTTAGACAATGCCCCTGGTCATCCTACAGACGTGGCAGAGCGACTTTATGGGGACATGAGCTTCATTAAGGTGAAGTTTTTGCCTCCTAATACCACTCCTCTCCTGCAGCCCATGGACCAGCAGGTCATTTCCAACTTCAAGAAACTGTACACAAAAGCTATGTTTCAAAAGTGCTTTGAAGTGACCACAGACACTCGATTGACTCTAAAAGAGTTTTGGAAGGATCACTTTAATATCCTCAATTGTGTAAACCTATAGGTAAGGCTTGGGAGGGAGTGACTAAGAGAACCTTGAACTCTGCTTGGAAGAAACTGTGGCCAGAATGTGTAGACAAAAGGGATTTTGAAGGGTTTGAGGCTAACCCTGAGAGGAGTATACCAGTTGAGGAATCAACTGTGGCATTGGGGGAAATCCTTGGGGTTGGAGGTTAGTGGGGATGATGTGGAAGAGTTGGTGGAGGAGGACAATGAAGAACTAACCACTGATGAGCTGATAGATCAACTTCAAGAGCAAGAGGCCAGACCTGGGGAAACTGGTTCAAAGGAGGGGAGAGAGAAATTGAAGGAATTGCCTATTCAAAGATTAAGGAAATGTGTGCAAAATGGCTTGAAGTGCAAACCTTTTTTGATGAAAATCACCCTCACACAGCTATTGCAAGCCGTGCTGGTGACTGTTACAATGACAATGTTGTGAACCACTTTAGACAAATCATAAAGGAACAGAGGTACAGGCCACTATGGACAGATATTGTTGTGCGAAAGAAGTCCAGTGACTCTGAAGCTGGTCCTAGTGGCATTAAAAGAAGAAGGGAAGTAACCCCAGAAAAGGACTTGCCTCCTCAAGTCTTAATGGAAGGGGATTCCCCTTCTAAACACTAACACTCTCTCTCCCCTCCTCCCATCCCATCAATCATCACCAGATCTTCAATAAAAGTAAGTGTCATGTAATTGTGCATGCCTTTTTCAGTTTGTGTGTACTAAAATTAACATTTTTTTGTGGTAAAAAAATTTTTTTTTCATACTTTTGGGTGTCTTGCACGGATTAATTTTATTTCCATTATTTCTTATGGGGAAAATTCATTCACATAGCGAACATTTCGCATAACAGCCAGCCCTCTTGCACGGATTAAGGTCGCTATGCGGGGGTCCACTGTATACTAGCGAAATAGCTAAGAATTTGGTCGACTCAGTGTAATTGGCCTAAAATAGGACTCAAAGTGGGCAAAATCGCTGTAAATACTGCTGACAAAGCAAAATTTGCAAACATAATTTCATCAGCTTTCCATCAAATTTCGTACTTTTTGTTTTACCTTCAGAAAGAGATTATCTACCATTTAACAAGAATTTTTTTTTTTTTTTTGATTCCTGGACCCTGTGGACAAGCTTTAGATTGGGGGTCTTAACCTTGAAAGGTTTAACAAATACATCAAACTGGCATATTCAAGAAATGCCTAAACTAATATCTGCCATCTTGTTTTTACCCATTATTTTGTTATCAGAAAACTGGCACGGCATATGTCCGAACTGTGCAAATTTTTAGCTTTTCCTCTAACCCTTATATTTTCTTATGAAATGATAATCTTTTCCCAATGGTAATGAAACCAAAAGTACGAAATCTTATGGGAAACTTAAAGAATTACGCTCTCACGAAGTTAGTGGTCTCAACAATATTTACACAGCTGCGGTTTTGCCCACCGAGCCCTATTTTCAGCCAATTTCATTGTTCCAGTCAACCGAAACTCATAGCTATTTCGCTAGAACTCCTTTTGTTCTGTCAACTGAGTACAAGAAACTGCCTGTTTACCTATTTCAACTACCCAATAAAATGATCAGAAATTGGTAATTTGGCCAATTTCATACAAAATTAAACTTCAAAATACAGCCCAGAATTAACAATGCAAACATTCCTAGCACTAAAATAACATTTTCTCTGTTCATTAATCATGTCCCCAGGCCCCTCTAACATAATGGACCCTCTCTTTTCGTTATTTTGTTCCAGATAGTTCAACAAAATGTTAAATCGACTAAAGCTGAAACCATTTTCCCCATAAGAAATAATGTAAATCCAATTAATCCATTTCGGACATCCAAAAGTATAAACAATTCATCTAATGTGACATAATAAACATTAAAAACATAGAAACACGATATATACTCTAGAATAAATAATATATACCATTACGTATGTGAGGAGTAAGTGGTGGTGGTGGTGTTGGGTTTATAAGGGCCACTGAGAGGAGCCGTACATATTAGTGGTAGTGAAGGTGGCAGCAGAGGCCACCAACACTATTCACACAAAAGAATGAGAAATCAAGTATTAAACAATAACATGACACCTACCTTACTTTAAACTCTTGTTGGTGTATGGAAGACAGGAGGGGAGAGGATGGAGAAGTTACACTACTGTTTGGAAGGGAAATCCCGTTCCATAAAGTGCTCTTGCAGCTCTACCCTCTACCATAATCACTATCACCTTCTACCACCATCACTACCACCCTCTACCACCATCACAATCACTACCACCCTCTACCACAATCACTATTACCCACTACTACCATCACAACTACCACCACCCTCACTACCATCATCACAATCACTACTACCCTCTACCACCATCACAACCCCTACCACCCTGTACCCACCACCACTTTCGTATTTTTCTACAAACTTTTCCTTTAATTCTTTAGTGTTTCTCACCTTTTCCAAAGGAGTGGCACAAGAAGCTTTGTTTGGGCCCATGATGGCTTATTTAGCAGTCACACAATAAACAAGTGCAAAAAACAATGAATTATTACAAAATAATTCGTATCAGCTCACAGAGTAATGTTCACTCAACCATAAACAAAGCAACACTGCCTGAGGATGGGTGTGTGGGAGGCTGCGTGTGTGGCACACACAGACCTGTACCATACCACCGACGAGAACAGAGGAGAGCAACGACAACTGAGTCGCCAATATTTTTACCGTACCACTGAGGAGAACGGAGGAACGCAACAAAAACTGAGCCAATATTTTTACAGAAAAAAATCGGCCAAAACTGAAACAAGCGAAAACAGAGCCCAACGAAAAGGGTCTACTGTATTACGCTTGCTTTCCATTTTGAGTTTTTGTTCACACAAAAAATATAGGAAATTTTAAGTTATGCAGACTACTGTGTTATTGTAAAAATGGTATAAATAATATAAGCGGCATTTGTGAAAGCATATTAGACCCACCAGTCGACGTATACTGGACGCGTAACGTGATTTGTTTACTCTTAATCATAGGCAAATATCCAACATTTCCATTACTTCGAGCTCAATTTCAAGGTACTTTAGTCTGTAAGCCATTCAGAATCATCTCTATTTCTGTAATATATCTTCAATTCTATAAATTGAGACCAAGAATACGAGAATACAACCATTAATACCGCACAAAAAAAATACACCGCAAAGTTGCCGTTTTAAACCAAAAACATGGCCTTTTTTTTTTCTCTCATTATGCACTGCATGCTGCAGGATTTTTTTTATACTGCACACACTGACCACTCAGACCCATTCTCTCATATGTAGGCTTACCAGCTATCTCCCACAAGACCGGAAGCGCTAGAATTTTGGCGTGGTATTACGGGATCGACACTGGCTTGCAAGTTGTAATATTACAGAACTGACAGTGAAAGGGTTAACAAAATAGCATGCAATACAAAACTATCCCCTAGATACCATCCTAGTGCTGCCTAAACTGTGCATGTCCAAATACTAAATTATATCTTAACTATACTAGTGAGTAGGGATAGGACAATACTAAATTTTTTGCCAATACCAGCACCCAGTTTTAGGCCAATGCTGATACCATAAAAATTAGCCAATACTCACTAATACTGGTATTGTTACCAATACCATCAACAGTAGGCAATACCCACCAATACCCATACTCATTCCTAGACTGATACTGTTAAAACTAGCCAATACCTACTGATGCCGATACCCACTGATGCCAATACTTTGGTACACCCCTACTAGCAAGATCCTTCCTGCAACAGAGGTGCTTTGATGTTGATGAAGGGTACTGAATTCAAGGAACTGTAGCCATTTTTACCTATCCTTGGAACAAACCTGATTCCCCCCCCCCCCATTCTCTAGGCACTGTAGGTTCCCTAAAGGTTTAGTGTTACCATGGACAAAGTAATAACACAATAATAATACTATAAAAAATTCAAATAACTGTCAAAGTAAACCAACTAACTGACATCCCCAGAGATGCCAAATTAAGAAAGTGATAAGCATAATTTCTTTCTTTTTTCCTTGATTCTGGAATTATAACTTACATGAGTCTGAAGGGTATAGGACTCTCCACGCAGCTTAAAACTAATAGAAGCCTCTGGCGTCTGAGCAACTAAAACGTTGCCCCAATGAAGATCTCGATGTTCAAATTCCAACTCTTCTTCAGCAACAGCCAGACTGTATGCAATCTATAAAAAAAAGAAAAAAGAGTACATACCTTAAGTGAAACCACAGAGTAGAACAGGTGACTTCAAATGCACAAGGAGCCATTACAACACATTTACAAACACAACCATAATGTGAACACGTACGTACAAACAATCTCTTATTTAAGATGAAAACCCAAGAACTCAAATAGTTTATAAATTTGGGTCCTGGATTTAAGGCCTACCTAATGCACATGTCTACTGTGTTGTGCCCTCTGGCAACTACTATTTTGTCTCTTTCATGTTGAAACTTCAAAGCTGTCAAAATATGTTAAGCAGTTAAATAAGCTGTTTTAATGAAAATTGCTGCATGAATAAAAATTGCACTGAAAAACTACGAGGAAATACAAAATATCTTTAACACAACATTCTACCTGCAGCTTCAGAAAATAGTCTGAAAAAGTTTCTGGAACATACAATCTCAATCCTGAGATTCATGAACAGGTGAAATTTAACATTCCAACATGCTGGCTCTCACCAAGGCAGGGCGACCCAAAAATACAAGAAACATCACTCGCATACGTCACTGTCTTTGCATAGGCAAGCAGATACAACAGTTCAAATGTCACTCCAAACAGCAAATATCCCAAACCCCCACCTCCAGGACTCTAGTCCGGCTAACTGATTCCCCTGAATCCCTTCACAAAATATTACCCTGCTCACACTCCAAAAGCTTGCCAAGTCCCAAAAACCATTTATCTCCACTCCTGTCTAACACACTCGTATATGCCTGCTATATGTCCAAACCCCTTGTACAAAAAACCTCTTTCACCCCCTCCCTCCATCCTCTCCTATGACAACCCTTACCTTCCAAGCCATCCTATTTTGCTCCAACCTCTTTATATGACCAAACCACCTCAACAACCCCTCCTCAGCTCTCTGAATAGTACTTTAGTAAATCCACACCTCCCCCTAATTTCCACGCTACAAGTTTTCTGCATAATATTTATGCCACACATTGCCCTCAAACATGACATCTCTACTGCCTCGCTGTAACATTTACAACCGTGCTTCACAACCAAGTGTTGGTACCACTATACTCTCATACATTCCCTTCTTTGTCTCCACATATACCTCAATGCACCACCCACCTTTTTTTCATCATCAATTCTATGGTTTACCTCATCCTTCATAAACCCATCTGCCGACAAATCTACTCCCCAATATCTGAATTCATTCACTCCCATACTCCCTCCCTCCAACATGATATCCAATTTTTCCTTACCTAACTCAATTGATGCCCTCATCACCTTATTCTTATCTATGTTCACCGTGGCATGCAAAGGTCGAAACCCTTTATTGGCGCATGTAACACCTCATTTACAGGCTATCTCCCCCAACCCAGCAAACCCCGGTTGCGGAGTTGAGAGGGGGCCCCGGGTTTTTTAAAACTAGGACCGGTTTTACCCAATAAGAGAGGGTTTTTGGCAATCGCAGAGGTTATGGGGGGTACCATCTCCTTCTCCCCTTGTCATTCCCTTTTCTAGAGCGGGTTTGAAGCATGGTCTGCTCTTTGGGGTTCTTTTTCTGCCTTGTACCATGGAGTGCACTAATATTTATACGTACATAGGTCTATTGCTTTTTCAAAATTGGTAAAGGATAATATATGCAAAATTTTTTCTGCTTGTTTATTTTGCTCCCTTTTACACCCAGGATAAAGGCCATTTGGATTCCTGGGTTGTAATGGGTAGCCTGCCCCGAGAGCGGGGAGCGGGATTGAGAAATGGTTGAGCTTGGGGTAAAGTTCGTGCGGGAAACTTTGGTGCAGTTTCTGTTGGCATTTGCATTGCTTTGCCAACGCTTTAAAAAATTTTCTTCAGTTACTTTGTTTGGCAGCCTTGCTATTGTGGGGATCGTTCAACAGCTCGCTCTAGCTTGTTCGGTGTGCTGCTTCGCTACGGTCAACCTCTAGAACAGTGTGCTGTCGGGCATTGCTTTACAAATTTTGCGTGTCAGTTTTTTACGCCGTTCGGTGTGGAGAATTTTTGCAGCAGTTTTGTTGTATGCGTTTCTGCAATCATACTTGCATAGCTAAGCGTGTTCTGCAAAAACGTTTTACGTTGGGGTATTCTGTAATCTTACTGTGCATAGCGAATAACTTATGTCACCTAACAGTCGACGCTGGTCGGACATACTTTGCTTTCCCTACCTAAATTGTCCCTACGGTTTGCGGGGAAAATTGCTCTTTCCCATTGGCATTAAAATACAAACGCACTCTCACAGCTGCGCAACTGCGTTCACATTGCTGACAAACTTTAGAAAAGAGATGGCACTCAGACTCCCCCCTCTAGGGGGAGCTGGGGCAAAAAAACTACTATTTCCGCAAAAGGGGGGAAAATGTATATCAACAGAGCAAAATATCAGTTTAGTGCAGCGGGGTTGTCTAAAGGTAATCAGGTCATGGCACTTGAGTGCAAAAATCAATCTTAAAAAACGGAACAGAAGCATTCGAAAGGGAAGAATTTATAGGGAAAAGAAAGGAGGCAGTTTTTCCATTCTGAAAATTTATTTTAGTTTACAAAAAGCAGTCAGTTTGTTCCCCCGCTTCAATGAGGCCCAAACCAGAAAAAATTTTTCGAAACTTCGAAAATCGGGCTCGACCTTGAGGTGGCCGGAACAGCTTTGGGGGCATCTTTGGTTCATCAGCTTGTTTGGTGGGCACAGGAATTTCGTCAGTATTAAATGAGCTAATTGAAAGTGGAAAGCCACGGGTTGGGGCTATACTGTTCCCCCAGCCAATACCGTAATTTTTTTTTAAAAATTAACAGGCGGCAGCTTGGTCAATCCCGGGTGGATTTTGTCGACAGTAAACCCCAAACTTTTACCAGCGGGAAAAAAGCAAGTGGTGTCTCTACCTTAGAAATCGGGTACAGTTTATTTGATTGAAATTTTGGGGGTCTGTGGGACCAGGGTTGAGTCTTTTTGCAGGATGTGACTTAACACTGCATTGGGGCAGCCAGGTGGCTGATACCTTCGAAACTAACCGCTCCCTTGTCCAGCGGTCCCAGCCCCTTTTTCAACAGCCTGGCATGAGAAAGGATCGTAAACCTTGGAGAATGAAGTGCCACCGGGGGGAGGAACGTCTCGTCACCCAACAAAGTCACCTGGTGAGCCATGTTTTCAATTATGGTCTACCTGCTAAAAGGCAAACTACTCAACATGGTGCATCTCGCAACATTCCAGAGGACACCACCCCAGAGCGACACTTGCAAGTCTGCGGGGAGTAAAGGGCAAGCCTGTCGTCTGTTTCCTCTGAACAAAGTAGGTCATTCCCCCCAAACTCCCCCCACAAACCCCCCCCATTGGAAAAACCCTCTAATATCCCAAAAAAAACATTGAAAGAGCTTATTCCTTTCGGGGAAAATCGGAAACAACTGAAAAAGACCTTTAGAAAGGGGGCATATTGCTCATTATAAGAAAAGGGAAAAATATTCCCCCTTTCAGAGAACATTCCCTTTGAATTCCTCTGTTTTATTGGAAGCATTTGGAGGAGCTTTTTTCTGTCCTTTGCAAAAAAATTTTATTACAGTGAAAAATATTACACTGGGACTTGATGGGGTTTTTGTTAAAAAGGATTCCCCTGAAAGATCCATGTTTTTACGGGTAATAACATTACTACTGTTAGGGGGTCCTAAACCCATAAAGGGAAATTTCTTCCCCCCCGGTTTGGCCATAACTCGGGTAATACCCCAAGGGGTTGTCTGGAGAGAATGTTGACCCCCCTTGGAGCCCCGATCTCGGAAATACCCACGTTTTTTTTACGGGGCACACCGGCCGGGGCTCGTAACAAGGAAACAGCCCCCGTCAAGCTTCCTATTCCCAGGTTGGGGTTCCCAGATATGTCTGTTCCATCCCCAAGGGACTGCCCTTGGGAGGAACAACAAAAGGAACCCTTTTTTAAAAAATTCCTTTTCAGGCAGCCATGGGGAAAATCCTTTTTGGGGTCACCCGGGTCAAGTATAAGTTAAAAACATTATTTGATCTGCACTGAGCTGGAAAGGGAATTAGAGGGCGCAATTGTAGACGGGTTTTTAGTAGTTCCCCAAGTTTAGACCTCATATTTTAAATATAGTCATAAACTTCATTTAGAGGTCACTTGAATTACTAAAACCTTGTAAGGACCAAAAGAATTTTATTGGCCAAAAAAAAAAGAAAGATGTTTAAAATCAATTGGGTGTTGCTGAAATGTCAGCAAGTAGGGAAACCTGACATTCCATTAAACCTGACCTCTCAAACCTATACCTGCTGTTTTAAAAACCCCTTTTTCAGATTAAATTTTAGATTGTGTAGGTCCACTACCTAGGTCAAAATTGGGGAAAACAATATTTATTTGATTATGGATAAAGTAACCCCGAACCTAACAATTCCATGCGTAGTATTTTTACTAAAGTATTCTCAAAGTTTAAACCCAAAAAAACTTTTTGTTTTACATTTTCCCAAAATATTCAAATGATCAAGGTAAATAAATTTACTGCCCAAAACATTTAGGGAATATTTAAATAGGTTTTGGAGAATCCACAAATTATCCACTGCCCATCCCTCGTCCCCAAGGGGCCTTGGAAAGATTCCCTCAGACGTTAAAAACCCGAGAGAACTTTTGAGCACTTTCCTACAGACTGGGGTAATCATACCTTTGTTGCTGTTCTCCCTATGAGAGACGGTGCAAGGTCTCAGGTATAGTCCATTTGAGGATCTTTGGGCCAATGTACAGGTCCTCTTCGGGTGCAAAGAAGGATGGATGGGAGAAAGTTAGTTTAACCAAATACAACCCATCTTCAAGGTTGCAGGGGCATGTCAGTTAGCCAAGGGTAACCCAAAGACAGCTCAAAGTAAAATGAAACAGGTATGACAAATGCACAATTCCGCTCCTTCCCCCAGGGACAAGGTGTTGGTCAGGAACCCAACCTGGCCACACCTTGAAAGCTAGATTTACAGGGGCCTATGCAGATTGTAAGTAGATTATTGATGTAAATTATGTGGTA